CTATCAGGCATATGGACTTCCCGGACGTTCCAGTTGAAGATCCACCCCCTATACATCCAGAGGTGTGAACCTTCTGTACACTGGGCCGGGAGAGCATTCCTTTGCAGGTGCCACTGATAGGGTAGCCATTCGATCTGAAAAATAAAAAAAAAAAATTAATTAGGAATTAAGTTATAAAAAAATAAAACAAACAACAAATAAAAATAATAATAATAATCTTACATCCATCTCAGTGAGCCCTGTCAGTTGATCCCGGGTGGTGGTTGTTCTCTTGCCCAGGTGTGTTGTGCTCCTCTTTCCCACCCACCATAAAAATCACAGTAAAAAAAATTGTAATCACAAAATTTAATAGTGGAAATAAAGTAAATATTAAATATAAATAAATTTTATTACCTTCCACCTAGGGGACAATCAGGGACTCTCTCAAAGTTCGTATCCCTCATTCTTGGGCGAATACGAGGGATACGTTCATATGCCCAAACCTACACATATCGACATATTCATTTGTTATTAGATATTAGTCTAAATTAGAAAAAAAAAAATTGAAATAACAAGCAAATTAATTTGCCTGAATCAGTTGGACACAGTTCTTGATCCAGTTTTCTCCGGACTTGGCGCTCGTGCAGAGCGCTCTGTACACTCCGGCCAGGAAAGCTGCACGTCTTGATCAGATTGATGTCGTGCAAAAGCTGCAACCAGTAGAGGTTCACTCCATTGCCCCTCTGGTCGGGGAAGAAGAAGGAACCGATGCACCAGAGTATAAGGGTCTTCGCCCTCGACTCGTAGGTGAAGTAATTCTCTCCATCGGTTAGTTGCCGGTTGCACTCCTCTTCCAAAGCATAGGCCTTCAAATACTGGCCTGTAATGGCCCAAGTCTTGGGGTCTTGAACCGGTTCTTCGGGATCCTGAGAGTGGTTTATATATATTAAAAATTAATGAATTGAGTAAACATTATAAATTAAAAAAAAATGTAATAAAAAATGTACCTGAACAAAGGGCTCGAACCCTAGCTCATCATTACAAACTTCTTGTCATTCAAGGGGCGTCTTATCTTGAGTCGCTCCCCAACAAGGCTCTCCATCAATGGGGAGACCAAAAAGGACTTGTACGTCCTGCAGCGTGATGGTGGCCTCCCCGAAGTCAAAGTGGAAAGTGTGCGTCTCCGGTCGCCACCTTTCCACTAGACACGTGACGAGGCTGTTGTCGGTCATGACTCTGCCCATTCGAAATAGCGGGCCAAACCCCGTCCTATCGATGACATCCCAAACTCTGGGATGCTGGTGATCCAACGCCTTCCAGAACTGAGTGTCGAAACGGCGGGGTTTAATGATGCCGTTACGACATCCTCCTATATCTTCGAACAAATCACTCGACCGGTGACAGTACTGAAGATATAGAGCGGACGGATCCCTCGGACCGGGATGTACATTGAAGCGCTGCGGTTGTGAGGACGACGAAGATGCCATTGTCTGCCAAAAAAGAAAAACAATAATTATATACTACATAAATTAAATCATTATATACTACAATCAATAATACAATCATAGTAAAAAAAAAAAAAAAATTCACAAAAACACAAATAAATTAAGTAAACAATAAATTCACAAATTCAAAGGTCAAAGAATATCCGCTCCTTGAAATAAAGACGTGTGCTATCATTAACCAAATATCCGGTTATTGATATAGATTGGTTACCAAAAAATAGAACGCGATAAGGACACTTCATGGAAATATCAATGGGATAAGGTCATAACAGATCGCTATACATTTTAACGATAAAAGCTCAGATGGAATGATTTATGATAATTATGTCGTAATTAATGAATTAATTAGAAGTGTGAAAAGGACATAATTAATGAAAAGTGTGAAAATGACATAATTAATGAAAAGTGTGAAAAGGACAAAAACTTACCGTTTTTGGAAAATATTTAATGCAAATCCGACATTGACCATAATTTGACCTACTATTTTGGATAAATATTAATTCTTACTATATAAGTATAGATTAAGATAACATCTTGTCTCTTTCTTAATAATAAAATTAGTCAAAAGCAGATCAAATAAGATGTTTCAAACATTTTTTTGAGTAGCTTATTGCGATATTTCTTGTACTTAATTAGTTAAACTTAAAAAATTAGATATCCTCATATTAGTCAAAAGCAGAAAGAATATGTTCTAAACATTTTTTGAGTAGCTTATTGCGATATTTCTTGCACTAAATTAGTTAAACTGAAGAAATTAGGTATCCCCATATTAGTCAAAAGTACAAATCGACATGCTTGATAATCAATTAAGATAACATCTTGTTTCTTTCTTAGTAATAAAATTAGTCAAAAGTAAAATTAATATGTTTGATCATCAATAACCATCACATTCCGTGTGATATATCCTAGGGTAAACAACGTTGCAATCTTCATTATACGTGCTTTTTGACTTTATAGTCTATGGTATCTTTATGGTAAAATGTAATTTAAATTTTATTAAAGTTATTGTTTGCAATATCTCGTGCTTTTTGACTTTATAGTCTGTGGTATCGTTTTGGTAAAATGTAATATAAATTTTATTAAAGTTGTAATTTGCAACATCTCGTACATTTTAACTATACATATGTTCAGTATGGTCAAGATGTACGAGATTTTGTAAATTATAAATGTTCATGAAGTTAACTTGTATATTTTACCAAAAAAATTGATATAGATTGCATAGTCAAAACACACTTATTTGAAATATTGCAAAACGTATCTTACCATATGTGCCATAATGAAATTGCAATTTATTTCCAACAACTTATGGTACTTGGCAAAGCTAGGGCATCTTATTTGTGATTTGGCAAAATTGGATGGTAATGTATAAATCCCGCAATTTCTGTTAAATCCTCAATGGGCTGGTTGGATTTTGCTGACGAAGCACGTCGGTGTTTGTGTGGGCGGATGGATGATGGGTTTTTTAACTGCGAAAAAAAAAAGTATTTTCTGTCTTAAATATTGGAACACAAAATTGGACAGTCTTTTTATTTTGCCAAAAAACGACATCTTAAAAGAATCAAACAATCTAATCCAGTAATGCTAAAGAACCAATTGTTGGCTCCTTAGCATTATTGCAATCTATGAATAATGAAGATCGAAACTATCAAATATCAACGGAAGTCAATCTAAACTCACAAAATTTGTTGTCCAATCCAATTTTAGTCAACGGCGGACTAACTATTTTGTCTTTTTAATTGTTTGCTCGTTAGAGAAATGCTACATTGTTAATCTAGTGTACAACTAGGTTGACAATACAAGTAAAAAAATATCTACAAAAATAAAAATAAAAAAAATGCACAAGTGGATGTTTCCACTTGTGTTATCAACCCAGTTGTACACTATGTTCGCTATGTATCATTTTTCTTGCCACTTATTGTCTTGTGTTTTTATAAAACTTTATATATATTGGTTTTTTGAGAGTTTTTGATCTTTTAAAATTTTCAGATTATGAAGAAATATTATGACATCTTCACTCTAGAGGTGGGATTTTAGAGTAGGATTTCGTTTATGTTTCTTCTTTTGAAATCTTAGCAAATCTTAAATTTTTTTAACAAATTGTAGTACCAAATAAGAGGGGTGTCTTCATTTGAAATTTTTAAAGACTTTTTAAGACTTTATAAATTCTGTTGTATTTAATTTAGATTTTTAAGACATTTAATAGTGTTTATGTATTTATTTGGGATTTTAAAACCTTATAAAATCATGAGGTATTTAACTTATTTGAGACTATGATTTGTTAAGACATTTTAAAATTTGTTGGGATTTCTAAAGAAAAAACTATATACGAAATCTTATTTAAAATCCCACCTCAACACTTACGATTTTACAGGATTTCTCAAAAATTTAAAAATCTTAAAAAATCTCAAATCTCCAAAAGTTTCAAAATGTTACTCGAAATCCTAAACAAATACGCCCCTATAAGTCAAATACCTCATGATTTTGTAAGATTTTTTAAAATTTGAAATGAATACCTCCAGACTTTTAAAGTCTTAAAAAGTTTAAATTAAATAGATCAAGATTTTTAAAATCTTAAAAAATCTTTAAAAATCTCAAATGATTACATCCCCTCCCTAAAACTTGAAGTCTCTCTAGTTCTATCCCTTTTCTTTCCTGGTTAGGGAGTATATCATTAAAATGACCCCCAAGAAACCAATGATCACCCCACATTAATTTATGTCTCATCAACAGACTCTATGGATATTCACTTTCATGAGGATCAATACTTGCATATACAAAAACTGCACATTATATTTCATCAAAACCAAAAAATTTGAAACAGTCTTCAATACAAAACTATGATTTATTATTTAAAAAATATGCACTTTATTCGACCAGTAAAGGAGCATACATTTTTATTTTTATTTTTCTTGAAACAGATTTCTATCCTCTAATTTTAATTTTTTACAAAAAGAAGCAACATTTTTTTTCTTTTTTTCTTCAAAGATGAAGGTAAAGTCAGGGAGATGAGACTTTAAAGCCTCTTTGAATTGGAAAATTGTAAAAAGTCCTCCAAGACCTCTATAATTCCTCACACAAATTTTTATTGAAAACTTATGGATCAGTTAGGTCTGATTTTCAATTTTTTTAGGAAGTTTCAGAATTATCCTCTTCATCAACCATATTACCCCTAATAGTTCTCTTATTACAGATATTCACCTGATTTTCAAAATCCTTACCACCACTGTCCACAACCATATCTTCAACTTTATCAACTTTTTCAATCCTACGATCCTAACAAAATTATTTTTTTCCTTTCATTTTTTTAGAATATGACTTTCTGGTGTAATGTTTTCTAGGTAATCATGCATGCCTAATTGCCTATGATCAAAAGATCACAATTTCCAATTCTAGGAATCTTGAAATTCAGTAAGACACACAGTTGTTACTTGCTAGCCATGGGTTGTAAACTTGACTATACAAAAAAAGGTCCATTTTATTTCAAAGCTACAACAACTATAATAAACCAAGAATTACATGAGGCTTATACCATCTAACAATATATACTCATTTTCCTTCATTTCAAATTCAAAACATATAATGGAAGTCATCACATTTCTCTTTTTCACTATTTTGTGCCTTGCACCCTCTGCAAGATGCTCCGATCCTCTTCAATCAACGTCGAAAAATTTGCAAGAACAACAAAATTTTCGAACAGAGGATTATTCGGCCGAACAAAAGAATCGAAAAGAAGATGATCAAATCCAAAAGTTGCCCGGGCAGTCATCCGTCAACTTTATCCAGTATTCGGGTTATGTTGCGGTTGGATCAAAAGATGAAAAAGCCTTGTTTTATTATTTTACCCAGTCCGAGGACCCGACAAACAAACCTTTAGTGTTGTGGCTAACTGGAGGTAAGATT